GCATGCCCCGTGCAGAGTGTTAATCATCGCTTCAGGAGGTCCCTTTTAGTTGGCGCCTTTTGGATATTTTCTCAAAGATATGCAAGTGCATTGGGGACAATAATAGGCTGACAGACTGGTTAATTCTGCACCACTTGGTGGTAAATTGACGCATCACCTCCTAGATTTTGTCGGGGTCTTTTGAAAGCTAGTGAGCATTGCGGTGGAACAGATAGATCCTTGCTGTCTGAAGAGAATGGTGTAGCGGGGAGAATCTAGATAATCTGACCGACACTCAACACTCAAGGGAAAGGCGAAGCGGATATACAGTAACACTGCTACTGGTACCATCATGAATGGAACTATGCTGTTCACTGCTAGGTTTACCATCGTGAATGGAACTATGCTTTTCACTGCTAGGGGCACCATCGTGAATGGAACTATGCTGTTCACTGCTAGGTTTACCATCGTGAATGGAACTATGCTTTTTGCTGCTACCAGTACCATCATTATTGGAACTATGCTTTTCACTGCTGAAGATGAGCGTTTATGGGAAGCTTCCGGTGCTATGATATTGGTTCCTAACTCAAAGCACCTTAGCTCGGCTGTTGGCCTGAATGTCCTGGGTTCGAATTTGCATCAAATCCTTGGCTCTTTAGATTAACACACCCTTCATGGGTACCAGACAATGTTCTAGATTAACACACCCTTCATGGGTACCAGACAATGTTCTAGATTAACACACCCTTCATGGGTACCAGACAATGTTCTAGATTAACACACCCTTCATGGGTACCAGACAATGTTCTAGATTAACACACCCTTCATGGGTACCAGACAATGTTCTAGATTAACACACCCTTCATGGGTACCAGACAATGTTCTAGAAAGTAAAGCCAGCCGGACTGATCTGGATGACACCAGCCACCGAGGTTACAAACATACTGGTCAAGTAACCTGAGGCTATTGGAACACTGACGCAGAAAGGGTCACTTATATTAATAATAATAATAATAATAATAATAATAATAATAATAATAATATAAAAATAATAATAATAATAATAATAACAATATTAATATTATAATTTTCTAGTATGGATACTTTTATTTCAGAAGAAAAACGTGTGTGTGTGTGTGCGGGCGTGTTTGTGTGTGTGTTTTTGTGTGTCTGCGCGCACGCGCGTAAGTGTTTATATATTTACAAAGTGTTGCCGTTTGTTAGTGTGAGGTGGTATATCCTTTTGGAAATATGTGCAAAGCGCGTCCACACACGTATACAGAAATTCAACAAGTTTTAGTAGTTGTAGAAAATAGTTGTAACGTTGCCAGCCGTAGCAGCTGCAGCAGCAGCAATTGTAGTAGTTTTTGTAGTAGTAGCTGTAGTAGTGATGGTGGTGATGGCAGTAGCAGTAGTAGTAACAGCTGTCGTTGTAGTTGTTGTGGAAACAGAAATTGTACCTTCACAGACGCTAGTGTGGCTTCGCTTGAGACCAGCCCTACAATCACAGGTGAAGTTTCTGAAGGTGTTCAGACACATCTCGCTGTTGAGGTCGCAGCTGTGTGGATGTGTGGGGTCTGTACACTCATTGATATCTAAAGAGGGATTGAACAGGGTATGTGTCATAACTCATGTCAAATATAAGATTATTGCAAAGTTAATGGACTGTAGTTTAGTGCAACAAAGCCTAAGATATGATACCACTGTAGCTAGTTTGAGGAGGGGGGGGGCGGTCACAGCAGCATTTCACTGCCTTGAGAACAACTGTATACTTATTTGCTCACATATTATGACAGATAAAACATGCTGAGAAATATGAAGAAAGGTATGCTCCTTGCAGAGTGGCAAGCATCGCCTTTCAGGTCCCCGAAAGTTAGCCTTTGGTATATTGTCTCCAGGGAAATACAGGTGTGTTGGTAAACGAACTTAGAGACAGACTGGCTGGTGTTTGCACGGTCGGCTAGTAAAGTGATGTGTGGTACGCTAGATGTGGTCAAACCCCTCTGGGAGTGAGTAAACAATGCAGAAACGCGAACAGAGCATCTCGATGAGAAGAGAAGTTATATCACGACTGGCTCCAGCTGATGGGCCGTGGTGCTTACGTCACCGGGTTGGGCTAACGTTGCGTTAACGGAGCGATTCTTAAACAAAAATACACTATTATTTTCGACAGTGGCGAGGCAAGACAACTTAAATTTTAACTTGTAACTATCTGCATGCCTTCTTTAATAATTTCACAATTTTTAGCCGACTTTTCTTGATTATTGCCGCGGCTCCCTTGGCATACGCTCACGTCACCCCAGGGTGCGTCCCAGTTTGAGAACCCCTGCGTTAACGCATTGTTAGCCCGACCCGGTGACGTCAACATCACGTCCCTTCAGCTGGAGGCGGTCATGGTTAAACCAGGGATCCAATGGACACTGTACACTCAGAGGAAAGGCACGACAAACACATAACCAAACGGCTCTTCGTACCATCGGCTTTGCAACTCTTCGCTGTCTACTCATAACGAGGGCTGGACGTTTATGATATGTCTTGAGTGTTGTCATGTCGGTTCTCGTGAGAAAAGCGAAGAAGGGTGTGATCCTTGCAGAGTGAGCTCAGTCTGTGTCATAACTCATGTTAAATAAACGATCATTGCAAAATCGAAATGGATATCGTTTAGTGCAACAAAACTTAGAACATGATGCAACATCTGATTTGAGAATGGAGTTCAAGGGAGTCGCAGCAGCTGGCACTCAAATCAACTCAGTTCACATAACAAACTAGTAACTGTTACACTGATTGACGCTTGCAAGTCAGTTTGAAGATCCTGGGTTGAAATCCGCATCAAGACGTACTGACCTCATGTTTCTTAAGATATTTTAGCCATTGATGTTCTCTGTTTGATTTCTGATATTATCTGTCATTACTTGTCCAAGACAGGATTAACCTACCTGTGTTATCTCTCTTTCATAGATTGATGTTCATTTGTTGGGCTCACTTTCTCACTGTTGAACTATTATACTTTTTAAATAGCAGTTAAAAAGGTTAATTGTGTATCCTTTACAGGACGTTGCAGAACCAACCCCAACAGCCCCTGACTGTTGTGTAGTTTTTCTAGGCAAATATTTCCTCCAGTAGTTTACCATTGCTTTCGGGACGGTCGGCTTTCTTGATACCACTGTCGAAACCAACGCAAGGCGCATAGCCCGCAGCTGGGATCGAACCCGGCATCCTGGCATTACGAAGCGGTTGCATCGACTTAGCCACAAAGCTGACTAAGTAGCAGTAGTAAAAAAATAATTAGCAAAATTGTAGCAGTTTTTTCTTATCTGTGGCTAAGTCGATGTGAACGCTTCGTAATGCCGGGGTGCCGGGTTCGATCCCAGCTGCGGGCCATGCGCCTTGCGTTGGTTTCGACAGTGGTATCAGGGGCCGACCGTCTAGCAGCAATGGCAAACTACTGGACGTAAATTTGCCTAGAAAAACGACACAACAGCCAGGGGCTGCAGGGGTTGGTTCTGCAACGTCCTGTAACCTTGTAGCAGTTTTAGGAACACAATTTCAAACATTGTAGCAGTTTTAGAACCATAATTTCAAACATTGTAGCAGTATTAGAACCACAATTTCAAACATTGTAGCAGTATTAGAACCATACGGGTGAACGCTAATCAACAAAAGATGTTGTAGTGTTAGATCTATAATAGAACAAATAACAAATAAATAACAAATGTTTTAGTATTAGAACCTAAACTAACAAAAATTGGAGAAGTATTAGAACCATAATTATATATATTTTTTAAAATTTCAGTTTTAGAATCAAAGTAACAACAAAAACAGTTTTAGAATCAAAGTAACAGCAATTGTAGTTTTAGAAGCGTAATTAGAAAAACAGTTTAGCAATTTTACAATGAAAGTAAATTTTAAAAAAAATTGTAGTAGTAGAAACATAATTAGCAAACTTTCAGCAGTTTTAGAATCAAATTAAATAAGATTGTAGTATTAGAACCACTATCAGTAAAGGTTGAAGCAGTGTTAGAACCATTATCAGTGAAAGTTGCAGCAGTGTTGGAACCACTGTCAGTGAAAGATGCAGCAGTGTTAGAACACTATTGAAAGATGCAGCCCACTATCAGTGAACCACTGTCAGATTGCAACAGTAAAGATTGTTAGAACCACTGTCAGTGAAAGTTGCAGCAGTATTAGAACCACTATCAGTGAAAGATGCAGCAGTGTTAGAACCACTATCAGTGAAAGTTGCAGCAGTGTTAGAACCATTATCAGTGAAAGATGCAGCAGTATTAGAACCACTGTCAGTGAAAGATGCAGCAGTATTAGAACCATTATCAGTGAAAGATGCAGCAGTATTAGAACCACAGTCAGTGAAAGTTGCAGCAGTATTAGAACCACTGTCAGTGAAAGATGCAGCAGTATTAGAACCACTGTCAGTCAAAGATGCAGCAGTATTAGAACCACTATCAGTGACAGTTGCAGCAGTGTTAGAACCACTGTCAGTGAAAGTTGCAGCAGTATTAGAACCACTATCAGTGTAAGTTGCAGCAGTAAGAGAACCACGATAAGAAAAGGTTGTAGATGTATAAGAACCATAATCAACAAAGATGATAGCAGTCTAAAGTCTAATGAAGTCGTCAAAGTTTTGAACAATTAGACTCAAGAAAGTCGGTTTAAAAACAAATGCTATGAGAAGGACTGGATTTTAGAACGTTAACAACTGGCAAGATTGATGGGAAGAGAGCAAGGGGAAGACAAAGAGATAAATACCTGGACAACTTGGCCCCACGGATGGGGGGCGAGACAAGAACATTGACCTGAACTTGATTCTTGAATATCGTGCGGGATGGCGAAACATGTCAGCCTACGCTCACCGACACGGCACATGATGATGTTGTTAGTGATGGTGGTTGTGATGGTGATGATGATAGTGATAAAAAACACATTTAGCACACACGCACACACACACACACACACACACACACTCACTCACACACACAAAGTAGCAAAAGAAGAAACATCATCACCTTCACATCTGCTTGTTTGATTTCGCTGGAGTCCAGACAGACAGTCACACTTGAAACCTCCGTACCCATTCACACAGACCTCCGTCGCAGTGTCACAGTTGTGTGGATGTGTCCGGTCTGAACATTCGTCGATATCTGTGGACGGGGGGTTAATCAGAGCAGGTTAACATAAAATATTATGTTTCTGAGTCTTTCAGTCCAGATGTGTTCATTACACTTTCTTGCCTGTCCTAAATTATCTCTTCATTCGCTTTTAAAACCACGTCACTGCAGTTTCCTAATAAAGTGTCACTAATCGACTAAATGTCTATCATTCTCAATCATAGCTACTCTCTCTCTCTCTCTCTCTCTCTCTCTCTCTCTCTCTCTCTCTCTCACACACACACACACACTCCTTCCCCTCACACACACACACTCCTTCCCCCTTTTGTCTCTCATCAATTAGATTTCCTATTTTTAGATACTTTTAATAATAATAATAATAATAATATAATAAACCAAAAAAAAAAGATATATTTAGAACAATTTGTCCTAGGGGTGGTGGCTTTGCGAGGAAAATAGGGGCGGGGGGGAAATTTGCGAGGAAAGCGGGGGGGGCCGGGTTCGATGAAAGCGGTGGAAGGAGGTGTGAGGGAAGCGGGGGGGGGGGGGGGGAGGGAGCGGGGCGAGGGGGGAAGTTGGGAGGGGGGGCGAGTAGTTGAGTTAAGCTGACTGGCTTGGAACGTTACTTTTTCAGCTCCAAACATGACGGTCATCCTAACGGTTGTGCTTCAGTTCCCTGTGGTGAGAAACAAACAGAACAGACTCGCTGACCCCCAACAAGCATGTCGTAGAAATCGACTAATTACAGGTGATTCCTTTGAAGTCAGAGTACATCTGCCTGAACGGTGATAAACCAACAGTTTGCATTAAAATAAACCAAATCTGTTTTTTTTTTTCAAAAAGGGATGTGCTCGCTACTCAAGTTCTCGAACAAAACTTAAGTCCAGAAGTGGAGGAACAATTATCACTTCCGCCGGAGTTTAGTAGAAAAAGAAAAAGAAGAAGA